CGGGGGGGGGGGGGGGGGCACCCAGCAGCGGGGCCGCGCATGCGCTCTGCGGGCTGAGCCCCCCCCCGGGACACCGGCACCCCGGGACACCGGCACCCCGGGACACCGGGACACCGTGTCCCCCCTACACCCGCCGGTGGAGCCCTACCGGACACGGAGCCCTTCTTTCCCCCAGCCCCGGCCCCGCTCACCTTCTCCCTCGGTGCAGGCTGGGTGTGAGGTTACCGGCTGGGAGGGGGGGGGGATCCAGGCTACCTAAGGAAGATTTTATGTAGTTTATTAAATGCTTAAACTGTAGAGAATCGTCTTTTAGAGAAGAAATGTAGCTATTTTAGCATCCACCCCAAATGGTTTCAAGGATTTAGTGAGATAAAGGATGTCTGTGGCCCCGGGAATGCGGTGTCCTAAGACAGGGATGCAATAAATAAGGCCATTGTCTGACAAACAGGTGGTAGGAGGGAGATCATTAGTTTTAATGAGCAATTAAGCAGTTGGAATGTTTTGCCAACGTGAAAAGTGAGCCAAAGGAACAGGTGAAGAAGATGAAGAATGAGGAAGAAACCACCCTCACTCAAAAAGAGGGTCACCAGAAGGCACCACTACGCATGCCCCAAAGCTGATTATAATATGTAAATGAATTCTCAGGAGTGTAATGAATATGCTAATGATTTCTTGGGATTCCATTGACTACGTATACCTGTTGTGTATAAACTTAATTTGACAACAGCATTATGGGAGCACACCAGGAGGAGCCACCCCCTGCCCACCTGGCGCCGGAGCCAAAGGAACAGGTGAAGAGGATGAAGAATGAGGAAGAAACCACCCTCACTCAAAAAGAGGGTCACCAGAAGGCACCACTACGCATGCCCCAAAGCTGATTATAATATGTAAATGAATTCTCAGGAGTGTAATGAATATGCTAATGATTTCTTGGGATTCCATTGACTACGTATACCTGTTGTGTATAAACTTAATTTGACAACAGCATTATGGGAGCACACCAGGAGGAGCCACCCCCTGCCCACCTGGCGCCGCGATAAAGAATGCCTGATTTATAAAACTTATAAATTGAGTTTTACAAAGTTTTACCTGCCAGTTTGTGGTGACACTTCTGGAGCAAACGGACATCTCCAGGGGCTGGCACAGTTATTCCAGCCTCAGGCCCGTGAGGACAGCTTTGCTCCTGCAGACTGGAGAAGGAAACCTTTTTCAACCTGATCCATTAAAAAAACAAAAGATGGAAAATGACTAGAGGAGGAAGGTTCCAGCACTGCTTGATATTATTAAAATAAAACGGGGTGGTAGGTGTGTATTAATGACCCCCAACAGCCCATCTCAGCACGTCTGCGTGACGTGAAATGCCTCATTTTCTTCAGGCCAGGAAATCTGCTTATTTGACTGAGGGGGGGTCTGATCAACACCTAGAATTACTTAAAAGGGTGGGTGTCGGTGTCAAGAGATTGGGGCCGGTAGGCCAGGAAATCTGCTTATTTGACTGAGGGTGGGTCTGATCAACACCTATAATTACTTAAAAGGGAGGGTGTTGGTGTCAAGAGATTGGGGCTGGTGTTTTTTCAGTGGTGCCCAGGGACAGGACAAGAGGAAATGGGCACAAACTTGACTATAAGAAGTTCCACCTAAAGATGAGGAGGAACTTCTTGGGGGGGAGGGTGGCAGAGCCCTGGCAGAGGCTGCCCAGGGAGGTGGTGGAGTCTCCTTCTCTGGAGACATTCAAACCCACCTGGACACGTTCCTGTGGGACCTGCTCTGGGTGGCCCTGCTTTGGCAGGGGGTTGGACTAGATGATCTCCAGAGGTCCCTTCCAGCCCCATAGCATTCTGTGACTCTGTGATTTGCCCAGAGAGGCTTTCATGGAATCATGGAATTGTCAGAGTTGGAAGGGACCTCTAGAGACCATCCAGTCCCACTCCCCTGCCAAAGCAGGGTTGCCCAGAGCACATCACTCAGGAGCATCCAGGCGGGGCTTGAAGATCTCCAGAGAAGGGGAGAGTGCTGTTTTTCCTCCTTCATTCTTTGCATTGCAGCTCAACTGAAGCCACTGCTGCACCAGGAAACAGGCTTTCTCTCTGTCTGTCCGTGGGTTGCTCAAGGTGCACTCACAGGTTCAAACTGGTTTCCCCCTGACGCTGAGTCTGGTAATTTCCATCCCATTAAAATGCCTCTTCAAAAAAAGACATCCAATTTCCCCGTGAAGAGGCAGACAAAAGCTGGCACGCATCTGTCATCTGGGAAACAAAAAAAAAACAAATCACAGAATCTTCTAGGTTGGAAGGGACCTTAAAGATCATCTTGTCCAACCGTCAACCTAACTGACAAAAATAGACACCCACACAACAAACAAGGAGCATCATCACTAAACCAGACCTCCCAGCACCACATCAACCCGGCTTTTGAACACCTCCAGGGATGGGGCCTCAACCCCCTCCCTGGGCAGCCCATTCCAATGCCTGAGAACCCTTTCAGTGAAAAAATTTTTCCTAATATCCAAATGAGAAGCTCAGGAGCATGTAACACAACACACATCTCAGCACACACTGGTAACAGACCCTTTCCTTCCCAACCTACCGACCAGAGAGATTTTAGTGTTAAAAGCTCCCTACTGCTATGATTAGCGGTGCTTAGGGTTTGTTACAGGACCCATGGATTCTGTGACTTTTTAAACATTCCGAATTTTTATAGAGTACCAAAAAAACGCTAGTTTACTGCCAAAGCCAGGGTTTTATTTCAAACCTCTTGGTGGAAATCATCGTCAGCTGGGCTTTCTGCAGGCACGTCCCATGAGAACGTAAAAATTCACATGTGAATTCACCTCGTGGTGTTAAGATTGTTGTTTTTTTTAAAAAAAAAGAAAATGAGTTCAGGTTATTAGGCTATGAGCTACATACTTTTACCTCTGTAACACTTTTAAATGAGTTTGAGTAATTCCTTCTTTAAGAGGAAATACTGCAAGTTACAGACCTTTCCATCTGGTCGTTTCGTAGCAGGTGACTATGTGGAGGAGAAATTGTTGTCTGACTCCCTTTACAGAAGACTTACACCATCTCCAGCTGCTCTGAAGGAGGAGACTAATACTGGACTATTATGTAGTCAAACATTTACATCAAAATATCCCAAAGAAGAATCTTGATCTCAAGCACTAGACAAGTAATCATCTTCTATAAGAACCTAAAGGCAAATGACTCCCTGAATATGCTGGCACCTACCCAGGGGTCCAAAGCTTAGGTACCACCAAAAAGCACCACTACTGTATTTGGGTGCCCCGGGGGACAGGAATACCTCAGCTTCTCACAGTCTCTGCTAAAGCCACCTTGCTTGGGGCAGTAGCAAAGTCCAATAATTGCCCTCGCATGGGTGGAGACCTGAAGCACAGGTTTTGCTGAGGCAGAGCTCTCTCAGAGTGGGCTATCTGGGGAACCCAGGTCCCTGAACTACTCCTGGAGGTCTCCCTTGGAGACCAGATTGGGGCAGAGAATTTAAAAAGTGGGTTTTTTTCCCAACCATTGGCTCCTGTGCCACCATATAGCCAATCCCTATGAGAGCTGCTGGGGTGGGGGGAAACCACAGCCCTGGTGAGGCACGGGATGCAACACCCATGGGCTGCAGAGCCTCAGCAGGACTCATGCTTGGTGCTCTTCTTCTTCATGGAGTTTGAATTTGCAGAGTCTTTTCAATAAAAGGAAAATACTTTCTAACGTGAAATCGGCGCAATAGGAATCGCAGTGCGACTTATTCAACCGACGTCCAGATCACGTTACACGATTTATTTCTGTCCCAGAGTCCAAGGCTATATTTAATGTGCTCTTTGGAATCTCCCTGGGAATGAGGAAGGGAAATGAGCAGGCACACATCTTAGAAGAACTGCTGCTTTCAGCGCTGGTCCCAACGTCTAAGCAACAAGACACGAAAATATTTTTGTCAGCAAGGAACGCATTTACAAAAATATTGTGTTTCCAGTGGAGCAGGCAATGACTCCCCTGTACAGACAAGGGAGGATGGCTCTGTGGGCAGACAAGTTGTTGTCCATGTGGTGATTCAGGGAAGGAGCATTAGGGTAACTTTGCAGCCCGTCTGCCATCTCACCCCCAGCTTTTGCTATTGCCCAAGGTGTCTACGAGCTTCAAATGCCCAGATACCCCTTAGTCTGGCCTTTGGGTGGGTTTTGCTTTCTTCTTTGTCTGCAGTCTTCCCATAAAATACGTCCCATAAACTGCCATTTTGATTGCAGCACGTTTAAAGAGGTGGGCACTGAGGTGGTGGTGTCCAAAGGTGTTAAAATCATAGAATCATAGAATCATAGAATTGCCCAGGCCGGAAGGGACCTCCAAAGGCCATCTAGTCCCACCCCCCCGCAGTCAGCAGGGACACCCCCAACCAGACCAGGTTGCCCAGGGCCTCGTCGAACCTCTCCTTGAATATCTCCAGGGATGGGGCCTCAACCACCTCCCTGGGCAACCTGTTCCAGGGCTCCACCACCCTCACAGTGAAGAACCCCCTTCTAATCTCCAATCTAAATCTGTTCCCCTCCAGCTTGAAGCCATTGCCCCTCGTCCTGTCACTGCAGGCCTTTCTAAACAGGTTCTCCCCAGCCTTCCTGTAGGCTCCCTTCAGGTACTGGAAGGCTGCTATTAGGTCTCCCCGGAGCCTCCTCTTCTCCAGGCTGAACAACCCCAGCTCCCTCAGCCTGTCCTCGTAGCAGAGGTGCTCCATCCCCCTGATCATCCTTGTGGCCCTCCTCTGGACCCTCTCCATCAGGTCCATGTCCTTCTTATATTGAGGGCTCCAGACCTGCACACAATACTCCAGGTGAGGTCTCACCAGAGCAGAGTAAAGTGGCAGAATCCCCTCTCTGGACCTGCTGGCAATGCATCTTTTGATGCAGCCCAGGATGGGATTGGCCTTCTGGGCTGCAGCTGCCCACTGCCTGCTCATGTCCAGCTTCTCCTCCACCAGCACCCCCAAGTCCCTTTCCTCAGGGCTGCTTTCCAATACCTCACCCCCCAGTTTGTATTGGTGGCGAGGATTGTTCTGGCCCAGGTGCAGAACCTTGCACTTGCTCTTGTTGAACCTCATGAGGTTCACCTGGGCCCACCTCTCCAGCCTGTCCAGGTCCTTTTGGATGACATCCCATCCCTCTGGTGTATCGACAACACCACACAGCTTGGTATCGTCCGCAAATGGGTGGCTGCAGCACTGCTTTGCCCTCGGGCTGCAGGCAAACCCAGCCGTCTCATTTTGGTGAAGTGCCAATGACTGGACCAGCCTTCAGACCAGCCAGGGAGCACTTGCTGAACAGGTAGAGAGGCACGTGATGAAAAGCTGACTTGATACCACCCCGATCCTGCATTTGTAATTCTATGCCTGGTTCTACGAAAGGCCCCAAATCTTGAGAAGAAGGTGCAAGGAGGTCCCCTAACCGCAACATCCTAACCAAACCTACTCCCCTTTAGCACCCAAGAAGGGACACAATGTGAGAACCAAAAGGCAACATCTTCACCCATCAAGCCTGCAAATAAAACCAAATGGGTAAGTTACCTGAAAATCCCTGCAGCAGTCTAGTCATGCCATAAACATCTGCACGGCACGACAGACAGGTTTTCTTGGTATCAGGCAATTAAATCGAGGTATAAATCAAAACCCCAGCTTACAAATCGTCGTCATAAAACGTTGCTGGAGGTTATGTTTCCCTGTTTCTTTTCTACAATTTACTAACGTTGGATTTTTTTTTTCTGGAATATGCTCTTTTAGATTTGTCAGAGAGTAAGTCAGAAATTGAATTCAGGTATATGGATGAGTCTTAAAATCTTGACAATAATATTGTGAACGCTTGTTGAAGCTGCTTGTGCTTTCATTGGCCGGATATTACATTCAGTTGAATCTGTTCCATATTATTATGCAGATGTATGCACAGACATAAAGCTATCAGGTGTGTTATAGCTATTCAATGCGCTTTCCTTCGAAGCAGCTGAAGGTCTGTCCAGTCAGCTGGATTGTCCACCTGCAACTGATACCTCCCTCCTCCCCAATTTATACATGTTGGGAAAGTGCCCAACAAGGAGCTGGGCCATCTGCAACAGGTGTCTCATGTCTTGATTTCTCACTGTCATAGATGGAGGTCTGTGAAATTTAACTTCGCTGCACTACAGAATTGCCTTGCCCTTGGAGTCAAACTAATTAAATTTGCTGCTGTATATTGTGTTGTACTGGGCACTCTGCCTTTTCTTGATTCCAGCCTTAAAACATTAAAGCATTCATCAAAGGAAGATGGCATCATACTGTCTGCACTAAGTGATGTTTTACTGGAATCACACTGGAGTCCTGTTAATTTCCACCTCTCTTTTTTTTTGTTTCTAGTCAGATATTTTAGAAATTCCAGTAGGAAATAAGAATAATATTTTGTATGGCTTTGCCAAATATTTTGAATGTAGTCTGTGCAAAGGTCAAAAGTTCCTGCGTGGTCAACAAGTGATAAGCAATGTTTAATAACGTGCCATTTCAAATGAGTTAGTTAAAACGCAGTCTAAAAGTACTGTTTTTCCAAAGGCTCACACAGGAATACACTGAATTCAGAAACAGGTACGTTGTGCCACGGTAAATGAAGGCCTCAGGCAGTGCAGAGGCCAAGCAAAGAGAGACAAGAGGTGCCTGTGGAGAAGAGGAGGTATAAATCTTGTTGAAACAGCAGACAACTCAGCTTACCTTGAATAGTCTATTAATGGTGACCCCAACAGCCAATCTTCTGGTCTTGGCCACGGTAAATGAAGGCCTCAGGCAGTGCAGAGGCCAAGCAAAGAGAGACAAGAGGTGCCTGTGGAGAAGAGGAGGTATAAATCTTGTTGAAACAGCAGACAACTCAGCTTACCTTGAATAGTGGTGACCCCAACAGCCGATCTTCTGGTCTTGGCTCCCTTGAAATGAAGCCCCAGGGTCCTTGTGTGCCTGGAGTGCTGGTCATCAGCCCCTTCAGAGATGTCTTGGGGGAACGGTCAGGTCTCCTTCTCAGCTGCCCAGAATCTTCTGGTCTTGGCCCCCTTGAAATGAAGCCCCAGGGTCCTTGTGTGCCTGGAGTGCTGGTCATCAGCCCCTTCAGAGATGTCTTGGGGAATGGTCAGGTCTCCTTCTCAGCTGCCCAGCGTCCAGAAAGAATCCTCTGCTCCAGCTCTGCAGTTTCAGCCCAGACCTAAAGCAGCACATTGGAAAAGGTGCACTCTAGCATCTCATTCACTGTTCAACGCTGTGATTTAGGATTGGCAGCTGTTAAGACAGAAGTAGCCTGTATCCATGTTTCTGTCTGTTCAAGTGCATTGACAAACAGCCCTTGTGAATCCTCAAACAACATTGGCAGAGCACAACGACAACGTAAGAAGGAACTCTGTCCAACCATAGCTGGAGCGTGATGATCTCAGGGAGGAAGGAAATGGGGCCAGAGATGGGGGAGAATTAATAAAAAGTTAAATGTAGTCTCATGGAGCATCTTGGCTGGTTCTGTTCTAAAGTAAAAACTTTACTGGTGTCAGTAAGAAAATTCCCATTGATTTCATTGCTATGAGACGACTTCCCTTCTTTCTCCCCCCCCCCCCCAAAAAGAAAGCTCTGGAAAAAAAAAACCAGGAAGTACTGAGTGTCAGCAATTCCCCATGGAAATACATTGTTGAAGAAGTATCACGGCTTGTGGACTCAAGCACTAAATTATAGCATTATACTTATGGTTCAGAAATTGGATGTGCCTAATATTCCTAAATATCATCCTAGACAGTTAATCCTGCTCAGGTGAATAGATGCAAGGGGAATAAGCACAGCAAGGCATTTAACAGCGTAACCATGGCACCTCCACTTCATGAAAGAAGCTAAATGCAAATATTATCTTTTTCCTCTCCCTGCATTGTGTTGCTCTGAAAACTAAACAGGCTTTTTCCTTCAAATGCTGACAATAATTACTGGGTCCAGTTCTGGGCTTACGCTGTCCAATTCTGGGCTCCCCAGTTCCAGAAGGACAGGGAACTGCTGGAGAGGGGACAGCAGAGGCTACAGAGATGATGAGGGGCCTGGAGCATCTCTCTTACGAGGAGAGGCTGAGGGACTTGGGGCTTTTGAGTCTGGAGAAGAGAAGGCTGAGGGGGGATCTGATCAAGGCTTAGAAATACTTCAAAGGAGGGTGTCGGAGTCAAGAGGATGGGGCTGGTCTTTTTTCAGTGGTGCCCAGGGACAGGACAAGAGGAAATGGGCACAAACTTGGATATAGGAAGTTCCACCTGGCCATGAGGAGGAACTTCTTTGCTGTGAGGGTGGCAGAGCCCTGGCAGAGGCTGCCCAGGGAGGTGGTGGAGTCTCCTTCTCTGGAGACATTCAAACCCACCTGGACACGTTCCTGTGGGACCTGCTCTGGGTGGCCCTGCCCTGGCAGGGGGTTGGACTAGATGATCTCCAGAGGTCCCTTCCAACCCCATGGGATTCTGTGAATATAATTTGTTTCTTTGTGCTGAAGAGATTAGGTGAAAGGGCAGAAGCAAGATTAATTTACCGCTGAGGTAAGGGGACAGAATCCTGCTGATTTCAGCTGACCTGTGTGCTCTCTTGCATCAGTGGGGAATTTGAACCTGAAGCTGAAGATGCATTTTTGAAGATGAAACTGATCTTCTGAGAATAGTGAAATGTTTCTGTAGTCATGTAACTAATTGCATGGGGCTTGATGACTTGGTCTAGCCATCAGCAAATCCTTCCAGCTTCAAAACATTATCAGCAATTTATTTGCCAATAAACAATCACTGTTACTCACTACCACGATTACCATAGGCCCTTTGGAGACATGGAAGATCATTGTCTTAAAACATTGCACAGAAAGCCACTTGGAATACATCCCAAGCTAATGCCTGCTCATTGTCATCTGTCAGGATGACAGTAGCTCCTTTTGGTCAGTTTTTTTTTTCACGTGACACTACACGTTTCTAACAGGAAGGGTTTGTCTGGCTGCAGCTGGAGAAGCCTGGGACAGTTTTATGTCAGTGGGCACCAGAGAAGGATCAGCACAAACATGGAACCAACAGTGGCAAGAAAGGTGCCCTCACATTTCCACAAAGCTTCATATTAGCTCTGCACAACGCTGATAATATATGGAATTACGTGCGATGCAGTCCCTACACTGCTTGGGGACTGGTACCCTCCTTGCCAGCTAGCCCAGGAGCTAGCCCAGCCTCTGCTGAACTCATCACCCTGCTCCTCTGATCACCCTTGCAACACTCCCACTGCTGCCAAGAAGTCTCCTTGCCCCCCAGTTTGCAGATGAGAAGCGGAGATAAAGCCGTGACTATCAAGCAAAGCAAGGACCTTGGCCACCAGCTTGGGTCATCTCGCTGAAAGAACTTTAAGTTAATGTTTCATACGTATGGTATCCTAGAAAAAGAGCTCGTCATTGCAACCAAACTGACAACGTATCTTATCTTAATCACCAAAAAGTACAATTCCCTGTAAATATTTTCTCAGCAGTAGACTCAGTTCTGGTTGCTCTCGGCATCCTTACTCCATGCGGATCCAGCTGTTTGTCCCTCTCATCCACCCTGTCCCCCAGGGATAATCATCCGATTCACACACTAAACTGCTCTAAGTTTTAAACTAACCAAAAAAATGGCAGAAGATGTCAGCAGCAAGTGCAGAATGGCAGCAACTATGCAGCACCCCAGTTTCCCACTAATTGTAAGGGGCCTGTACAGAAGGTCGAGGGCAAAGTAGGCAAAGATTGCCCACTGCACGCAGCCATATGTTGCTTACACAGGGTACTTCTACATGAGGCTCACACGTCAGAAACAAACAAAGATTACACACTGCTGGAGCTTTCATTCAGTGCTGGACGTGACTTTGAACACACCCGTCTTCCTGTGGACCCGATGTTAACTCAACAGGAGGATTTTCAGAAGTTTCCCTCGGGGCAGACCCGATAAGCTGACAGATTCCCTCATAAACACAAGCTTTCATTAAATTGTCTGCATTACAGAATGATGCTGCAGGATTTCCATTTTGCATGTGTGCCCTGTGCTTTTTGGTTTTTTACAAATAATTATTTTAACTTGACTATTGCCTCAGTTTTTGTCGTACAGAAGAGGCATGGATTTATAACGCTGAAGGCCTATTTTCCTTTTCTTCCTATTTGCTCTTATGATGAAGTAATAACCCTTTCCATAACAGCAGGCAGTGGTTGCATGAACAACTAAGTGAAGATGAATACAGCATCAACAGAAAATAAAAACTGCTATTAAGTACAATGATGCCACAGACCGGGTCACACATGAGCTTACTTCTGCATGATTTCTATCTTCAGAAATTACTGCTGATTTCTGCCTTCAAAGTAGCAACCACTATCAAAAAGCACCCTCTTTTTCTGTGTAAGTTCTAGAAAAGACTTTCTCTTGAGAGTTACAGAAAGGAAAGCAGGGCCAAGCAAGCACACACTCCTACAGAGCAGGTTTACCTAAAAAGACACAAGTAAGTATCAGAATACTCTTACTCTTAAAAATCCCTGCCTCTTGTCAGGGATTACCTCACTTTAGCACCCTATTTTCTGAGTCCCCCGAAAAAGGCCACCCCAGCCCAGCTCTGAAGGTCAAGAGACACAGGCTATTTCAGACCAACAATGCAGTGCCTGTCAGAGACGCGGGCACTGGCAGTCCCTCTTCATCCCTCTTGAATACCTGCTCTAATTTTAGCTCGGGCACAGAAGCCAGCAAAGCTGCCTTGTCTCTCAAAGCAACGCCCTGATTAATTCATTTAGGAGTCTACTTGGTGGGACTTGGCATTTCCCACCAAGAACCTCCTGGGGTGCCAGGGCAGAGCAAAAGAACTGGCCGTACCCAGCGCTGTAGGTGCTGAGGGCATGGTGGGCAGCTTTCCCCTCCTACCTCTGCACCTCTGAACACATCCCAGCTTTGCAGCAGCCAAGGAAACAAAGGCACAAAGTGAGAAGGCATCAGGAGAAAATGACTCTTACTCCTCCTTACTCCTGTGGCAGCAGGAACAAGCTCTGACTTTCCAGCCAGAAACTGAGAGAGGTCTGCCCCCAGAGAGCCCAGGGCTCCCATCAAGCTCTCCCAAGGGCTGACGACAAACACCAGGTGAATGCTCTCCATTAGGATCACTGTTAAACACATCCCCCTGAGCAGCATTATGTTTTCTTTACAATTCTCACACCAGTTCTGCTAAAGCTGCCTTAAATCCCACACGTCCATAGGAAGTAGGGAAGACAATCCAAACCAGAATAAATAAATGACTGTAAAGCTTTGGAGGAGAGCAGAAGAGGTGCTTCTTTATGTTAATGACACCTCCCAGATTCTCCACCATCAGCCCTGCTAATGGCTTTACATTCCTGTTAATCATAAACACTGAATATGGAATCGAAGGATAAATTACCTGATGCCCCAGACACTTGAGATTAAAAAAGCAACAACAACAACAACAAAAAAGAATAGGAGCTGTGCTCAGTTAAGAGCCGTGCTCGAGACCTCTTTAAAAGGGAATTTACAAGTCACCAGCATTTTCTTGGGGCTGTGGGGCAAATGAATGAGAAATAAAACCCCCGGTTCCTCCCAGCTGCTGGATGAGAGAGCAGCCAATGGTGAGCAGGGCCAGCTCCTCCACCCATCGGGGCGCCTATGCTAGCTCACCACCGAGAGGTGTGTGCTTGCATGTCTGGAAAAAAAAAAAAAAATCTGGCAGGCGACGAGCTTCCCTCTGTGCTGCAGGGCTGTTGGACAGCAAGGAGCTGAGCATGACCTGGCAGTGTTTTAAACAAGCCTCTTCAGTACTGCAAAGCTTATTCAGAACCCAGCGCGATACTTAACAGCATACCTCGATCTCTAGTGAAGAATAGTTGCTAAGGAAACCACTTAAAAGCCTGCTTTAAAATATCTGCCACGTATTCAAAAAGCCAGACTCGTTTCCCCGCTGTCAAATGACAAGACCTCTTCAAAGGTCGTTAGGAATATTCTTTAATCGTTAGGATAGAAATATGCTCGTGATTCCTCTCAGCAGAGAGAGGGCTGAATTCTGACCTGGGATATTATCTTTGTAAAACTGAAGTCACTGAAATGAAATCAGCTTTGCTACTGCACCACCATTCCCAAGATAGATTTTTTTTCAACTCCATATTTCAACTACAAATTTACCATGTCTGACATCCTAATCTTTTGAAGTATCACAACTTCTAACTTACTTCACACTGTTTCAAGTTCAAGGACAAATTCAATTTGCACAGCTGAAATGCTATAAATGGAGAATGCCAAAGGCACAACGTGAAGGGCTAGAAACATTCTGTTCTAACTCACTTTTTCCTGCATTTAAGAGGACAGACTCTTCACTAGGGGCACAAAAAGCTCAGCAAAATATTATTCTGTTTCCAAATAAACTGCCTGAATATTCAAAAGCCGTTTAGTGTTCCGGGATAAACAAAGCAATATTTTTTTTAAAAAAAATGTATGCTCCTTTCAGAAAACATTGTTGTATAGGGTCTGGCTGGGATGTAGTTAACTTTCTCCGTGGTAGCCCTCATAGTGCTGTGCTTTGTATTTGTAGCCAGGGTGGTGTTGAAAACACAGCAGTGTTTTGGGCACTGCTGGCTGAGGATGGGGAGTGCTAGAAGCAGCTCGGGGGGCACCCGGCAGCCAGCCAAGATTAACCCACCACACCTGGCACCACCAAGGGCAGAAACCTGATTTTGGTTTTAATGACTAACAGCTAATCCTCTGGGCATGCTTTCCATCTGACCTTCCCAGAAAGCATACAATGTTTAGACCCAGGAGTTTATTTTCCATCTTTACCAGGACAGAAGCAAGGCATCTGAACTGAGAGGAGTTCTGTGGCAACAGATGTGCAGCTGACTCCCGTCTTTCCTACAAATGAGAACTGGTTTAGAGCCAGCAGTTTGGTCTGGGCACTCCTACAAATCTGCTCAAGTTGCACCATAATCATCGTGTTTCAGAGTGCCTCCTGTCTCTCTGCAAGTCATGGGTCCCACATGAGACAGAAACTTGTTGAGTAAGATAACCAGAGGGAACAAAGCCCTCGTATCCTAAAGCCTAAGCACACAAGGGATGGATGTCACATCGCTTGCAAAAGTATAGAGCATGAGAATTAAGCCTTGCACATCATTTGAACAGTGCCAAAAATAATGCAGTTTCGCTTTTCTATTTCTCATTTCTGATCAGAACGCTTATTAGTTTTCTCAGGCATGTTTTGATGTTAACCCTATTATCTATGCACGGGCAATACCTGGCAAGAGTGCCAAAAAAGGGCTTTTTTTTCCCTGGAAGAAGGAAACCACTTTTCACCCACACCCTGAGGACTGTGTGCAGTCCTTGTCAGCTCCTCCAGCGGGGCAGGCCAGCTGGGGATAAGGGTGACAGAGAGGCAGGTAGGGACCTCGCTGACGGCCCCACAGCACCCCACAACAAGGAGAGCCAGGGCAGCTGGTGGCAGCAACAGGGGTCAGCCACAGTCCAAGGACCACTAAGCTTGACCACAGAGACAGGACAGACTCAAGGTCAAGCCAGAAGTTCAATCAGCCAGGGAAGCACAGGATCAGCGAGGTGCAGAGCCAGGCATGGAGCAGCCATGCACACCTTTACCACGTTAGCCCACCTGATTTTGAAGGGCTGCTTTTTGAAAAGTGCCACGAAAAAGGACAGCTGTTGCCAATTATTTGAAGGTGGGTGATGAGAAGGTGGCTACTTCCCTTCACTGCAGCCAAGGGGTGTTTTGTGGCCTGTTCTGATCTGCTAGCAAAGCTGGAGAGTACAGAGATAATTAGCTAGGAGTCTACCATAGGGAACAATTCTTCACTTTTTGAGGTTAGAAAGCATGATGAAAAAGTTCTCCCACTTGTAGTATCAGGCATTGCAGAGCACATTGTGCTGGCAAGAAAAGCAGAGTGTTCAGAACCAGTTTGTGCTTCTGCCTTGATCTGAGACCTAATACACAGAGAAATGTTTCTTTTCCACCTCCCCAGGAATCCCAGCTGCTGTGTGTTCAGTTACAACACTGGGCAGAACAGCATGTTAGCACACCAGCAAACAACCTCGCCCTGTCCCCAGTAGTTTGGTTTGTTTTCCAATCACATGAGACAGTCAGTTAAGCTTTTAGAATCCAAAGATGGAAGGATGCAGAAAAGAAGGACGAGTTAAAAACGGGAGGAGAGGCAGCAGGAGAGAAATAATCACAGGAAAATATCTCCAAATTGTGAGAGAAAAGGAGAACAAAACCAAGCAGAATGGGCAGCGGGGGGAGGGAAAGGTCAGAAACATGACAGAGAAGCAAAACCAGAGGCAGACAGGAAAGAGCAAGAAAGATAATCTTGCAGGAGCAGAAATTCCTTGTTAGGAGACACAGAATGTAGAAAACTTAACTCTTCCTTTACGGAAAAAAAAAATGCAAAATTAACATTGAAAACAAATACTGCATAATACAAGCTCCTGCTCTTCCTGTTTCTGAAATTTTTTTGCCTCCTGTCCTTTGAGTGCTGTCAGAGGCCCCTCAGAGTACCAAGTGCTGAAGTACCGTACAAATACCATACAAGTACAAAGTACTTGCCTATCCCCTGCACCCTGCCCCCACACCTATTTCTGTGTGGATCCTTCTCATTGTGCCCTGGCCTCGTCCTCAAAAGCCTCCTCACAAAGCTCCTCTTAGGCCTGCTGCCTCTTTTCTCCTGCCACCTCAAATTCCTGCTGCTGCCCCTTCAGCTGCCTCCCACTTACCTTCCAAAACCCTGTAAATGTAAGGGTAGTTCCACTGAAGAGAAAGGCTTAGCATGAAATATTTATAATTTCCATGCGGGCTGTCACTGTGAACTATCAAGGGCATAAATTGTCTCTCAGCACTTGTGCCTAATGTCATACAGGTCCCCCACACTTTAGGAAAGCCCCTGCTGGTACCACTCTGTAAATAGCAATACCTGTTTTCCAGAGTAACGTCCTGGTTTCCATTCTCAATAAATCACCGTGCTAGTTTGGATCTGTCTCTGCACAGGAGAACTGCTGCTCTTTGCCCAATGCCAGGAGAGCTGGTTTCCACGGAGCATTGTTTTTCCTTTGTCGCCCTGAGGACAAACAGGAACCAGGGAACAACCTGCAAGGACAGACAGCAGCATTGCTACCCTGCAGAAGACTCAAATTAAATTCCAAACGCTGAATAGGACACCACACATCTGGAAATCAGAACGATCTGGTAGGTACCACCATGCCCACCTAACCCCTTCTTCAGTGAGAGCTCCAAGGGGTTTTCTTCTCTTGCTGGGAAGCCAGAAGCCAACGGATTTTGCAGTCAAGGCACATTGTGCAGTGGGCTTTAGGGCTGCTTAGCTCTCCTCTACTGAATACAGAAGGGAGACGGCTGACATGGTTGTTGAGAACATCTTTAAGATGACATTGCAGCAGATGATAAATATTAATGGCAGCTTTGTCAGGCTGAGGATGCCACTAAATAACAGTGCTACATATAGATAGATAGATCCGAGTTTTTAAGAACCTGTACTCGTAGTCAGGAGACCAAAGAGCTTGGTTTCCTGAAATACCGGTGCCTTTGGGAAGCTTGTATTTGGGAAATTGAAATCATCAGTCTGTAAACCTGTAGGCCTAGTGCCGCATTTTAAAGTTCTGTTTATAAGGTAACATCAAAGTCATTCCCAATGAAAAGTTAGAGGACATAATGCTCTTGAAATTAAAAAAACAACCAACCACCAAAAGCCAAAAACTTCCTTACCTCACAAATATCTGGGGTAAAAAAAAAAAAAAGGAAAAAAACAACCAAAAGCCAAAAGCTTCCTTACCTCACAAATATCTGGGCTAAACTTGCCAGTGACCTCCTTAAGCCTATGCAGAAACTACATCAGCTAGCCTTTTTCCCTTCAGGTTTCTATTTTCAAGCACTCTTGACTCTGGTGGACAGCCTAAGGGCGACGGGGAGGTGTGTGTCGAAGCCCTTTGTCATTAAGAGCCATCCCATGTGCCAGATGGCCTCAAAGGCCAAAAAAAGCCTGTTGTCGGTAGCACAGAGCGCCAGCCAAATGATCTCTTTACCCCGCCATTTGGACACGGGTCAAGTGAGAAGGGGCAGCGGGAGCGGGCTTTTTTTTTAATTTTTTTTTCTTTTTTTGTCATAGAAAGGGCCGCCTTGGAGCAGCACACTGCCGGCTGCCGTATAAAATCTCTATAATTCTCCTCAGCGACACACACACGCTTTGCTCCGAGG